GTTTTGTGGGCATGGCAGTGGTCCGATTACGCCCATCTCCAATACCAAACGCCTTACGGTACCAAGAAACATGTGTACCAAGTTTCATAAAGATGAGTAAAAACAAGTCAAGTGGACCCCCCATTTTCCACTTGATCATCGAATTTGAATGTGAGTATTTTTTCATAAAGTATTCATCATGAAAAGTAATCCCCCGCTCAGTTTTTTTAAATTTTAATTTCAACAACAATTTTTATTTAATTGAAAATTTTTACTACTTTTAGTTAAAATATTAATAACTAGAAAACTATTGGTGATTTGGGAGTTATAGTTCAAAACTTTTACTTTGAAAAAATATTTATGAATTTAAATAATTTTTTTTTTTTCAAATTGTTAATTAACTTTTAAGTTAAGAAATGAAAATTTTAATGACTTCTCCCTCAAAAAATTAAAAATTTTTTTTTTACTGATCGCGATTAGATTAAGCACAAAAAAATTTTTATGACGGGCGGTCAGCGCTGCCGGTATAGTGCTGCAGATATAGCGGTTCGGCAACGCAACACTTAGAGTGTGTTGCATATTTCATTTGTATGTTGGGATGATGGTCTCACATTTTGCTTGCAGTGAATTAGCATGAATGTGGTAGAACAATATGCATAATACCTACCGCTTAATAGTTTCAAAGAAATATTAAGACGGGAATCCCTAATCCACCAGAATGTATTGAATACCCGCTATTAATATTTCAAGGCCAAATTTTAACTGGAATGTCCTATTCTTTAAGTATTAAAAATCATAATTTCTTTAAATTGAATATTTTTAGTATCTTAGTCATTGACTTATCTTTAGAGTTACTTAGTAATTATAAATAAGGAATATACTTCATTTTTTAATTAAAAATATCGTTATTTATGATTAATTTTATTTCAACAAATGAAAGATAATAAATTAAATAGTTTTCATAAATAAAAAAAGAGTTAAATAATTCTTAAATTAATTCATATAACTTATACGTATTGCTTTATTTCTTTTTTTATTGTAACTTTATTGGTAACGATTTTAATGTCTTTGGCGAAAACTTTGCACCGAGTGATGTATTATTAAGAGCTCTGTAATGATGATATTGGCGGGTATTTTTTATGGTTACACATCGGTCATAACGTAATTTAAACATCTTCTCATGGGAGTCATGATCTTCTTGAGAGCAAAAACCAAAGTTAATTTGTTTATAATACTATCACTTCCTGGACACTTAGTACACTTTAAAGTAACACAATGATGCAGACTCTTGGCAAACAGAGCTTTTAATTAAATCATTGGACCTTTCTGAATAATTGTCCCTCTTTTAATTCATTTTTAAATCCAGCTAATTGCAATTTGAAATTTTGATGGATTTTACACACACACACATTATGAGTTCCACTTTTGCCAGCAGATATACATTTTCGAGGTCGGAGTTTTTGAAATTTGGATAGTCCAATCTTTTCGTCAGGATAAGCTTCTTTAAATTTTTTGTGTATTTCGTGAACATTATATAATAATAGTCGTTTTAGTTTTTGGATTTTCTTCCCATTTTCAATCACCGAAACATAATCTTTCATACCAGGCATTACGCGGCTGACATCATCGGATAGATAGAAAGCTTCAATACGATCGAGGGTTTCAATGTTTAGAGATTTCCCTCTCTTAATCATAGGTTGCGATGCGAATCGTCGTTCTTGTCGTATTTTTTTTTGCAGTTCTCACCATTCGTTTGGAAACTTTAAACTTTTCCCTTATCATTTTAATCGACCAATCTGTAGGAAGCGTAGTCAAAACCTGAATTTTATCAGCTCTACTAGTTTTACCATTGAAAGCAGATTAAAAGTTATTAAGTAAAAGCTCTTTTGGATCAATTTCTTTATTTACATTGTTAATATTATCCGTAAATTTACTCACAACATTTGTTAAAATGTTTTGACATTCTTTATTACTTGAGACTCTCTTGATTTTGATTGAAGGTTCACCGATTTCCGTTAATAATTTATTAACCTTATCAACTTTTAATTTGTTATCTACCGGTTTGCAATGAAAAGTGGGATCTTTTTCTTCGTCATCTTCGATAACATCATTTGACTTCTCAGGCTTGTTGACTTCAGGACATTTATTCACCGATAATTCACCAAGAATTTCAGGTTTTCGGCCTGAATAAATAGTCCGTTCACATGAATTGCACATATAATTCCCAATAAAATCTTTAAAATCATGAGCGCGGTTTTTGTTATTAAAACTAAGTTTTTAATGACTTTTTATGATTTTTTTGTTAAATGGTGGCAGCATTTCTTAACGAGGCTCATGATTAATTATCAACGAAATTATGAATGGCTCGAGATATTCCTTTGTTGTTCACATAGTTGTAGATACTGGGACATAAAATATTAAGATGCTTTCATATTTATTTCTTTTAGCCGCAAAGGATTTAGTTCGAATATCATTTTATTTAAAACAAGTATTGTAATGTTAATTGGATGTTTTATAATGAATAGAAAAAATGGGGTCAAAAATTATGGATTTTAATACTTAAAGAATAGGACATTGCAGTTAAATTTGGCCTTGAAATTTAATAGCGGGTATTCAATACATTCTGGTGGATTAGGGAATTCCCGTCTTAAGTATTTCTTTGAAACTATTAAGCGGGTAGGTATTATGGATATTGTTCTACCACATTCGTGCTAATTCACTGCAAGCAAAATGTGAGACCATCATCCAACATACAAATGAATATGCACCACTCTAAGTGTTGCGTTGCCGAACCGCTATATCTGCAGCGCTATACCGGCAGCGCTGACCGCCCGTCATAAAAATTTTTTTTTGCTTAATCTAATCGCGATCAGTAAAATTTTTTTGCGGATTTCTTTACTTTAATGTTTATTGCAAAATACTAAAAAAAAAAATTTTAATTTTTTGAGGGAGAAGTCATTAAAATTTTCATTTCTTAACTTAAAAGTTAATTAACAATTTGAAAAAAAAAAAATTATTTAAATTCATACATATTTTTTCAAAGTAAAAGTTTTGAACTATCTA